GACAACGGTCTCCAGGCGGCCAGGACAGTCAACGGTCTCCAGGCGGCCAGGACAGACAACGGTCTCCAGGCGGCCAGGACGGACAACGGTCTCCAGGCGGCCAGGACGGACAACGGTCTCCAGGCGGCCAGGACAGACAACGGTCTCCAGGCGGCCAGGGCGGACAACGGTCTCCAGGCGGCCAGGACAGTCTCCACAACGGTCTCCAGGCGGCCAGGACAGACAACGGTCTCCAGGCGGCCAGTCAACGGTCTCCAGGCGGCCAGGACAGACAACGGTCTCCAGGCGGCCAGGACAGACAACGGTCTCCAGGCGGCCAGGACAACGGTCAGGCGGCCAGGACGGTCTCCAGGCGGCCAGGACAGACAACGGTCTCCAGGCGGCCAGGACAGTCAACGGTCTCCAGGCGGCCAGGACAGTCAACGGTCTCCAGGCGGCCAGGACGGACAACGGTCTCCAGGCGGCCAGGACAGTCAACGGTCTCCAGGCGGCCAGGACGGACAACGGTCTCCAGGCGGCCAGGACGGACAACGGTCTCCAGGCGGCCAGGACAGTCAACGGTCTCCAGACGGCCAGGACGTACAACGGTCTCCAGGCGGCCAGGGCGGACAACGGTCTCCAGGCGGCCAGGACAGTACAACGGTCTCCAGGCGGCCAGGACGGACAACGGTCTCCAGGCGGCCAGGACGGACAACGGTCTCCAGGCGGCCAGGACAGACAACGGTCTCCAGGCGGCCAGGGCGGACAACGGTCTCCAGGCGGCCAGGGCGGACAACGGTCTCCAGGCGGCCAGGACAGACAACGGTCTCCAGGCGGCCAGGACGGACAACGGTCTCCAGGCGGCCAGGGCGGACAACGGTCTCCAGGCGGCCAGGGCGGACAACGGTCTCCAGGCGGCCAGGACAGACAACGATCTCCAGGCGGCCAGGGCGGACAACGGTCTCCAGGCGGCCAGGACGGACAACGGTCTCCAGACGGCCAGGACGTACAACGGTCTCCAGGCGGCCAGGGCGGACAGTGATCTCCGGGGGGGGGTGGGGGTGGCCAGGTCGCGCGGGCCAAACAATGATTAATCACCCGTCCACCTCATTTGGGAGCAACAAATGATGGCGCCCAGACTGGCCGTCCAGTTACTCTGGTGTGGCCACCTGCTGGCCCGCCTCACTACCATGGCCACCTGCTGGCCCGCCTCACTACTCAGGCCACCTGCTGGCCCGCCTCACTACCCTGGCCACCTGCTGGCCCGCCTCACTACCCTGGCCACCTGCTGGCCCGCCTCACTACCCTGGCCACCTGCTGGCCCGCCTCACTACCCTGGCCACCTGCTGGCCCACCTCACTACCCTGGCCACCTGCTGGCCCGCCTCACTACCCTGGCCACCTGCTGGCCCGCCTCACTACTCAGGCCACCTGCTGGCCCGCCTCACTACCCTGGCCACCTGCTGGCCCGCCTCACTACCCTGGCCACCTGCTGGCCCGCCTCACTACCCTGGCCACCTGCTGGCCCGCCTCACTACCCTGGCCACCTGCTGGCCCGCCTCACTACCCTGGCCACCTGCTGGCCCGCCTCACTACCCTGGCCACCTGCTAGCCCACCTCGCTCCCCTGGCCACCTGCTGGCCCGCCTCACTACCCTGGCCACCTGCTGGCCCGCTTCACTACCCTGGCCACCTGCTGGCCCACCTCACTACCCTGGCCACCTGCTGGCCCACCTCGCTACTCCTGGCCACTGCTGGCTCGCCTCACTACCCTGGCCACTGTATGGCCCACCTCACTACCCTGGCAACCTGCTGGCCCACCTCACTACCCTGGCCACCTGCTGGCCCACCTCATATCCTGGCACCTGCTGGCCCACCTCACTACCCTGGCCACCTGCTGGCCCACCTCACTACCCTGGCCACCTGCTGGCCACCTCACTACCCTGGCCACCTGCTGGCCCGCCTCAATACCCTGGCACCTGCTGGCCTGCCTCCCTACCCTGGACACCTGCTGGCTCGCCTCACTACCTGGCCACCTGCTGGCCCCGCCTCGCTACCCTGGGACACCTGCTGGCCCGCCTCACTACCCTGGCCACCTGCTGGCCCGCCTCACTACCCTGGCCACCTGCTGGCCCGCTCACATACCCTGGAACCTGCTGGCCCGCCTCACTACCTGGACACCTGCTGGCCGCCTCACTACCCTGGACACCTGCTGGCCCGCCTCACTACCCTGGACACCTGCTGGCCCGCCTCACTACCCTGGCCACCTGCTGGCCCACCTCACTACCCTGGCCACCTGCTGGCCGCCTCACTACCTGGCCACCTGCTGGCCCACCTCACTACCCTGGCCACCTGCTGGCCCACCTCACTACCCTGGCCACCTGCTGGCCCACCTCACTACCCTGGCCACCTGCTGGCCCTCCTCACTACCCTGGCACCTGCTGGCCCACTCACTACCTGGCCACCTGCTGGCCCACCTCACTCCCTGGCCACCTGTGGCCCACCTCACTACCCTGGCCACCTGCTGGCCGCCTCAATACCCTGGCCACCTGCTGGCCTGCCTCCCTACCCTGGACACCTGCTGGCTCGCCTCACTACCCTGGCCACCTGCTGGCCCGCCTCGCTACCCTGGACACCTGCTGGCCCGCCCTCACTACCCTGGCCACCTGCTGGCCGCCTCACTACCCTGGCCACTGCTGGCCCGCTTCACTACCCTGGACACCTGCTGGCCCGCTCACTACCCTGGACACCTGCTGGCCGCCTCACTACCCTGGACACCCTGCTGGCCCCGCCTCAACTACCCTGGACACCTGCTGGCCCGCCTCACTACCCTGGCCACCTGCTGGCCCACCTCACTACCCTGGCCACCTGCTGGCCCGCCTCACTACCCTGGCCACCTGCTGGCCCACCCCTGGCACTACCCTGGCCACCTGCTGGCCCACCTCACTACCCTGGCCAACCTGCTGGCCACCTCACTACCCTGGCCACCTGCTGGCCCGCCTCACTACCTGGCCACCTGCTGGCCCGCCTCCCTACCCTGGCCACTGCTGGCCTCCATCACTACCCTGGCCACTGCTGCCCCGCCTCATACCCTGGCCACTGCTGGCCCGCCTCACTACTCAGGCCACCTGCTGGCCCGCCTCACTACCCTGGCCACCTGCTGGCCCGCCTCACTACCCTGGCCACCTGCTGGGCCGCCTCACTACCCTGGCCACCTGCTGGCCGCCCCACTACCCTGGCCACCTGCTGGCCCGCCTCACTACCCTGGCTACCTGCTGGCCCGCCTCACTACCCTGGCCACCTGCTGGCCCGCCTCACTACCCTGGCCACCTGCTAGCCCACCTTCGCTCCCCTGGCCACCTGCTGGCCCGCCTCACTACCATGGCCACCTGCTGGCCGCCTCAATACCCTGGCCACCTGCTGGCCCACCTCACTACCTGGCCACCTGCTGGCCCGCCTCGCTACCTGGCCACCTGCTGGCCCGCCTCACTACCCTGGCCACCTGCTGGCCCGCCTCACTACCCTGGCCACCTGCTGGCCCGCCTCGCTACCCTGGCCACCTGCTGCTGCGCACGCCTCACTACCTGGCACACTGCTGGCCCGCCTCGCTACCCTGGCCACCTGCTGGCCCGCCTTGACCGAAAGCTGTGTACAGTATTGAGTATATACACAGTGGTGAGCCCCTGGATGGGTGTACAAGTGTTGTGTTGGTTGACTCCTCACGTCACGCTGAAGAGTCGACCAACACAACACCTATACCCCCTATTAGACTATTTTACAGGAACTTCTTTTCGACGGCTCATAAAACGGAGGAAAGTGTCCTGAAAGATATTGTTTGATAGGAACGTTATATACTTACAGACAAAAATCAGAAATACAATTGATAAATTTATTATAAAACCAAAAAAACGGCCAATCTACTCATGAAAAACTCGCCAGACCACCAAGCAGAACGCTTTGAAGGAGACCAACGTCGTCTATGCCTTTAAATGCGCAGCTTGGGGACTGTAAGCCCAAAAGAACTCAGTATATAGGCAAGACAAAAACGTCTCTTTCTAGGCGGACTAACAATGCATAAGCAACAGGGCTCCACAAGGAACATATAATCTCTTCTCACAACCAGACCATCACCACAGAGAAGTCTTAACAAACAACACAGAAATCATCGATAGGTACGGCGATAGCAGGCGGCTTGACATCAGCGAGGCACTACACATCAAAAAGTCAACACCAGCAATCATCAGCCAATTAATGCACAACTACCTACCTACCTACCTACCATACCTATTCTACTTACTTCAAGACCCCGAACCAATATGAAGCAGCAAGAGGAGAAGTATGGGCCAATAAGCCTTCTGCAGTTACTTCCATTCATATGTTCAGTATCCAATTTATACCCAGTTGTTCGTGGTTCTGTCTTGTGTTTGTCACCTCACCCAAAACTTTTGTACCATATCACCTCATCCAATAGAGTATAAGTACGAAGAATTTGTGTGTGTAAATTAAGTCTGAAAATGTAATACGAATTACGAAACGCGTTCAGGCGTCAGACAATTAAAAAATGAATTTCGGGGAAATGTTATTTTTATTACCACCGACAGTGAAGAAAAAACATAAGATATATTGAGAAGATTCGTGTTAGAATTATTAATCTTACCTTTTCGGTCATATTCAACAACATATGTTTACAAGAAAGACTGCTACCAAAATATACTAATTATTATATATATAATATATAGATATATATATATATATATATAATATGATATATATTATATATATATATATATATATATATGTATATTTGTCGGTGCATTTAGGCGTGGTCCGTTGTTAGTGCGTGAGAGAGACAGTGGCGGGAGGGGACGTGGAGTGTCCAACACACCTGCCACATTTGGAGAGCTTTTAAAGTCATCGGAAATATTAAGAGCATTGCAAAAATCTCCTTTGAAAGTATCTGGGCGTTGGAAAATATTTCACCCGTAATAAAAGGTCGCGATTGAGTCAGGAACAAGAGTCGGAAATGGAGAGTAAAGCTGATGAAACTGACACAGTGATTGCGATCACCGGAGATACATTTCCTCGAGTGCAATCACAGAGTGCAAGCAACAACACCTATGAAAATTCTGTAATTAAAACACGAAATGAGTTTTAGACACAACTGCAAATAAATATGCTGGAAATAAAGACTGCTGCAGAGAGAGAGAGAGAGAGTAGTTGGAGAGAGAGGTCAGTAGTTGGCTAGTTTATATAAATACACACACACACACAAACACACACACACACACACACACACACACACCACACACCACACCACACACACCACACACAAACACACACACACACACACAAAAGAGCCCAATAGGCTCAGGAACCTGTACACCTGTTGATTGACAGTTGAGAGGCGAGGCAAAAGAGCCAGAGCTCAACCCCCGCAAGCACAACTAGGTGAGTACACACACAATGAGTGGACAGCGCTCTGGATTTGTAGTCCTAGGGTTCTGGGATTGATCCCCGGCAAATGGGCTAGATTTCTTTCACCCTGATGCGCCTGTTTACCTACCAGTAAATAGGTACCTGGGAATTAGACAGCTGCTACGGATTGCTTTCTGGATGTGTGTGTGTGTGGGGGGGGGGGAGGAAGTTAGTAGTTAGTAACAGTTGATTGATTGACCTTTGAGAGACGGGCCGAAAGAGCTCAACCCCCGCAAGCACAACTAGGTGAACACAACTAGCTGAAAACACAAACAAACACACACACACACACACACACACACACACACACACACACACACACACACACACACACACACACAGTTGCTTGGAGAGTTGCTTGCCACTCTCCATAGTGTATAGTAGGTCACTGGAAACGGGAGACCTACCAGAAATATGGAAGACGGCTAATGTAGCACCAATATACAAAAAGGGTGACAGACAAGAGGCACTGAACTACAGGCCAGTGTCCTTAACTTGTATACCATGCAAGGTGATGGAGAAGATTGTGAGAAAAAAACCTAGTAACACATCTGGAGAGTAGGGACTTCGTGACAACCCATCAAACATGGGTTCAGGGAGGGTAAATCTTGCCTTACAGGCTTGATAGAATTCTACGTACGATCAGGTGCCAAAGATTAAGCAAGAAAGAGAAGGATGGCCGGACTGCATTTTTTTGGACTGTCGGAAAGCCTTGACACAGTACCCCATAAAAGGTTGATGCATAAGCTGGAGAACAGGCAGGAGCAGGAGTAACTGGTATGGCGCTCCAGTGAATAAGGGAGTACCTAAGCAATAGGAAGCAGAGAGTTACAGTGAGGGGGTGAGACCTCGAATGGCGTGAATGGCGTGAAGTCACCAGTGGGAGTCCCACAGGGCTCTGTACTTGGACCTATCCTGTTTCTGATATACGTAAATGATCTCTCCGGAGGGTATAGACTCATTCCTCTCAATGTTTGCTGACGACGCCAAAATTATGAGAAGGATTAAGACAGAGGAGGACAGCTTGAGGCTTCAAGAAGACTTGGAAAAGCTGCAGAAATGGTCGAACAAATGACTGTTAGAGTTTAACCCAAGCAAATGTAATGTAATGATGATAGGGGTAGGAAGCAAGAGACCAGATACAAGGTATCATTTGGGAGATGAAATACTTCAAGAGTCAGAGAGAAAGACCTGGGGGTTGATATCACGCCAGACCTGTCCCCTGATGCTCATATCAAGAGGATAACATCAACAGCATATGCCAGGTTGGGTAACATAAGAACGACCTTTAGAAACTTGTGTAAGGAATCTTTCAGAACATATATACCACATATGTCAGACCAATCCTGGAGTATGCGGCTCCAGCATGGAGTCCATATCTAGTCAAGGATAAGACTAAACTGGAAAAGGTTTCAAAGGTTTGCCACCAGACTAGTACCCGAGCTGAGAGGTATGAGCTACGAGGAGAGACTACGGGAATTAAACCTCACTTGGTTGGAAGACAGGTGAGTTAGGGGGGACATGATCACCACATTCAAGATTCTCAGGGAATCGACAGGGTTGATAAAGACAGTCTATTTAACACAAGTGGCACACGCACAAGGGGACACAGGTGGACACTGAGTGCCCAAATGAGCACACAGAGATATAGAAAGAACTTTTTTAGTGTCAGAGTGGTTGACAATGGAATGCATTAGGAAGTATGTGATGTGGTGGAGGCTGACTCCATACACAGTTTCAAGTGTAGATATGATAGAGCCCAATAGGCTCAGGAACCTGTGCACCAGTTGATTGACGGTTGAGAGGCGGGACCAAAGAGCCAGAGCTCAACCCCCGCAAGCACAACTAGGTGAGTACACACACACACACACACACACACACACACACACCACACACACACCACACACACACACACACACACACACACACACACACCCCAGACATCCCCCAGATCCCCCCAGGACCACCAGAGAAAGGGAGAACTCTGGTACAAGAGTTTCCATGAAGAATCTCAAGGTTTGGTACACCAATGCTGATGGGGTATCTAATAAAGCAGAAGAGAGAAGAGATAAAAGAAAGAGGTGAGTGAAGCAGATCCTGACATAGTTGCAATTGTGGAAACTAAAATTAATGACATGATCTCAGATGCAATCTTTCTGAAGGGGTACCAGGTGATACGAAAAGAGAGGACCACAGAGACAGGGAGGGGGAGTAGCGTAGCATCCTAATAAAGCGGAAATGGAAGTTTGAAGACCTGGGAAATCGAGTTACCAATGGAGCACACAAGCTTCATACATGGAACTCTGACAGTAGATGGGAGGAAGATTGTGATCTTGGTAATCTACAATCCCCCACCAAAAACAGTAGAAGACCCAGGCAGGAGTATGATGACAACAACAAAGCATGTATAGATGAACTGCGAGAAGGCAGCAACACTAGCCCACAGAATGAGAGCGAAGCTGCTGATCATGGGGGACCTATCTCATGGAGAGATAAATTGGGAATCAAGGAATCCCCATGGAGGGGACGAAACGTGGGGAGCAAAATTAGTAGATGTTATAGACAGGAATTTCCTGACACAACATGTGAAGGAAGACACAAGGGAAAGAGGAGGAGATGCACCGAGCCTATTAGACCTGATTTTCACCAATAAACGTAGAAGATATCGAGAATATAGAGCATGAAATACCTCTAGGGGCCAGTGACCATTGTGTCCTAGTCTTTGACTACATGATGGAATTCAAACTTTATGACCATGGGACAAGAGATCTGGGAAAGGGAGAGCTGACTACAGGAAAGGGGACTATATGAGGATAAGGGACTATCTGGGTGAAGTGCAGTGGGAGGAAGAAATTAGAGGAAAAAACAGTCCAAGATATGATGGACCTAGTCATACAGAAATGCCAGGAGGCCGAAGAGAGATTATACCAACGGTAAAGGGAAAAAATAAGAAGAATATAAAACCCATGGTTTAATAACAGTGTCAGGAAGCAAAAATGGCCAGCAGACGGAGTGGAGGAAGTACAGAAGACAAAGAACAGAGGACAACAGAAGCAGATACAACAGAGCTAGGAACGATTACATTAACATAAGACGAACATCGGAAAGGGACTATGAGACGATATTGCAATCAAAGCGAAAAAAAAACAACCCAAGTACTACACAGTCATATAAGAAGAAAATGTCGGTGAACGACCAAGTGACAAGACTAAGGAAGACAGAGGGGGCATATACTGAAAGTGACAAGGAAATCTGCGAGGCACTGAATGCCAGTTTCCATGGAGTGTTCACTACCGAGCCTGAGCAGCTCCCATTGTTGGAAGGGGTTACCCTAGATGAAAGAATATAGATATAGAGGTGACAGCAGAGGAGGTAATGAAACAGTTGACAACTCTAGATGCAACTAAAGCAGTTGGACCAGACAAAGTATCACCGTGGATACTAAAGGAAGCAGCACAGGCCCTCAGCGTGCCTCTGGCAATGATCTTTAATGAGTCACTTATGTCAGGAGAATTGCCCAGTTGCTGGAAGAAGGCAAATGTCGTGCCGATCTTCAAGAAAGGAGATAGGGAGGAGGCACTAACTACAGACCTGTATCACTGACAAGCATCCCCTGTAAAATACTGGAAAGAATAATTAGGCTGCGGACTGGTTGCACACCTGGAGAACATTAGGTTTGTGAACAAACATCAACATGGGTTCTGGACAGGGAAATCGTGCCTAACAAACCTTCTGGAATTCTATGATAAAATAACGAGGATAAGACAGGACAGAGATGGTTGGGCGACTGCATATTTCTGGACTGCCAAAAAGCCTTTGATACAGTACCGCACATGAGACTGCTGTTCAAGCTCGAGAGGCAGGCGGGGGTGGGGGGAAAGGTCCTAGAATGGATAAGGAACTACCTAACAGGAAGGAGCCAAAGAGTTACGGTAAGGGGCGAGAAGTCGGACTGGCGAACAGTAACAAGTGGAGTACCACAAGGATCGGTGCTGGGACCAATTCTATTTCTTGTATATGTTAACGACATGTTTACAGGCGTAGAGTCCTACATGTCGATGTTTTGCGGATGATGCAAAGTTGATGAGAAGAGTTGTGACAGATGAGGATTGCAGGATCCTCCAAGAGGACCTGAACAGATTGCAGAGATGGTCAGAGAAATGGCTACTAGAATTCAACACGAGCAAATGTAAAGTTATGGAAATGGGACTAGGAGATAGGAGACCAAAGGGACAGTACACAATGAAGGGGAACAGCCTACCTGTAACGACGCGTGAAAGAGACCTGGGGGTGGACGTAACACCTAATCTATCTCCTGAGGCACATATTAATAGGATAACGACAGCAGCGTACTCTACACTGGCAAAAGTTAGAACATCATTCAGAAACCTAAGTAAGGAGGCATTTAGGGCGCTTTACACTGCCTACGTAAGGCCAGTCTTAGAGTATGCCGCCTCATCATGGAGTCCCCATCTGAAGAAACATATAATGAAACTGGAAAGGTTCAGAGGTTTGCAACGAGACTCGTCCCAGAGCTACGAGGGATGGGGTATGAAGAGCGCCTGAGGGAATTGTGCCTTACGACACTAGAGAAGAAGAAGGGAGAGGGGGGACATGATAGGAACGTATAAGATACTCAGAGGAATTGACAGA